ACCCTATGGGATTTGTAAAAGCGAAGTCTTTGTAAGTTATATCCCATAATAAAAATTTGAATTTGAAACTGCTGTACCGGAGGCTGAAACCAGACTGTGTAACTGAAGCCATAAAACCTGGAGCAGGTGGCATATCGCATACAAAGGTAACGAACACTGAAGGGGTGAACATGCTTTCTTGCCCTACTCATTGTCCTTGCAGGAAAACTGTCCAAAAGGGATACATGAACCCTGGAGTTGTATCTACATCTATCGAATGATGAATGAACCCCTAAGAAGCCATAGACAAACATACACTGGTACACTATTCTTTTGCAGTCCGCACTTGGTTGATTCGCTGGAGTGACCTTGAAGATGTCTCTTGTACAAAACCCCCATGAAATTTCAAAAGCCCCTTCCCCGTGCTGAAGATCCAACCGTATTGAAGTCAATAAGGTCACGTACCAAATCAGGCGGGTCAGTCCTGTGTACTGCTGGTCTCTGATCAGAACAGTGAGTAAATCGGGTTCATATTGATAGATAACCATCTCTATTGTCACAGGCTATGGGATAGCGGAAAATCAATTATCTGGGGTTAGTGCCCTTGATCTTTGGTATAATAAAATACCCCTCAACCCGGTGACCGAATAAGTTATTGTTTCTCGTCCCTCGTCATCTATTAGAAAACACACACTAATATTGTTCACCCCAATCACCAATGTTGTATTTAGATTGAACAACTAAAACGCACCGTTCAACGTGAATGTGAGGAACGTGAAGAGCTACACGCGACCCTGTTACGTACCCGGGAGCAACTAGTTCACATCACAGATTCGGCGCTCGATGTGCACGAGAGATGTGAACGAGATCGGCAAACGGGATCGCGGAGAAGTCAGGCAGTTCGCCCCAGCCATGACTCTCCACCTCGTCATTCTATCAGTTTGCCTCCATTATCTGGGGATCAGAAGCAGAAACCACGGATTCTCTCGGACACGTCGACCACAAGCCGAATATCCAGTTCACAAGATTCGCACACAAACAATGTTTCCAACACTAGGTGAGTTTTTTTATTGCCGTTGTTCATAGCCAGCCGAAAATTCCTACACTTTTACATCTAGTAGTCTAAAATCGATGACGTTTTCTTACCCTAACGGGGTTTATTTTAATGGGAGCTTACTTCGGTCACTACTTGCTGTGGTCACACTCTGCAGAGTTCAGTAAGTTGTATTTTCTCTCTAACGTCTCCGCGTCCAAGATGAATAAACCCACACAGTCTAAAAAGCATATATTTCCCCCACATACACCCCATCAAGTCATGCTGAATGAATGACACTTTACGTGTGTTTCTGGACGGTTTTTGATACCGGAGAGGAAAAATTGTGCTAAAAAGGTTTCTAGCTTTTGTCAAAACCTCTCACTGGGGAAAAAGTATAATCCTGTGCAGACGAACATTTTATTGATCGAAATAAACACGAATCAGGAATTCCAATTCCAACCACAATCGAATCACGCAATCAAATATTTTTCGTTTATTGAATACACAATGATACAGATTTCAGGAAGAGAGAATCGGTCAATCAAAGCGCTGTCGTACAACTCACAGAAATTGGGGAAAAGTCAGATGGCGGTGGCGGTGGTGGTGGGATTCGAACACACGTCCCCCGAGGTGACAATTTGGCGACGTTAGCACCGGGCCACCACTACCACCGTCTGCTGAAATCTCCCGATATCGAGACGCAGAAAAACTCCACGGAAATAGCGCTTCCTTGATTGAATGAAACCAACGGGATTAAATAATACGTACAAGGAACTGTAATCGAATAAACATGCATTAACCAATCCCTGGTCGTGTTCTCCTCGTCGTATTATCCCTCCTCTTAGGACCACGTGATTTTTGATTGGTCCAGACTGTTTGTCTCGGATTCGTTGTCCTGTGAATGCAGTGCTTATCTCCTTGACTGACTGCCTGAGTTTATCTCGAAGGCATGATTCATCACAAACAGATGGAGTTCCATATGAGTCTCGACAATCGAAAGGCGTTTTGTGCGCACACGAAATCGCAGTTCTCGATAGTATTTAGATTACTGTTCACTCCATTTAACCCAAACATTCGAGAAACAGTATCACCTATTTGAAATATATCTCCCAGTTCTAGGGTTATAGAGCTGATCAAACCTGGTACTATAACTAACCATCTACAATACTTCCGATTCACGAAAACAGTGTTTGTTCATTTCCCCCCTCTTTTTTGCTTGCTTTCTTTCCCTCTCAGGCGAAAATCTAAGATGTCCGAGTTGGCTTTGGCCAAAAGGAGAATCGCTCTGATCAGATCGAAACGATTGGAACAAACGTGATTTGCAAAGTGTTGTGAGGAGAAAAGTCTGTTTTGTTTTCCACGTGTCCTCGTCCAATACAGTAAAGAATGAATATCAACATTTTGCGGGGTGTGTTCTTTTTATCTTGGAGTTGGACGGCTAGTTAAGACGATGCGCGTGCTTGGTTAGAGGATCTAGAACGGGACGAGTAGCCCACCAACGCCGAAAAAAATGATAAAGGCTACTGGTATCCATCATCTCAGCTACTACTTTTAAACACGAACATGAGACAGAATGCTGCATATATATACCATGCAGGACATGGAATTAATGTAGAGGAAAAAATGAATAAGAGCAGCTACCAATCGGACTAGCATATTTGCAGCACACGACCCCAATAGATCAATTAGACGGTAAGTGTGAGAAGAACCAGCGTTTTGTTCAAGAACAAAGGACAGAGGAGTTACACGAGCCTTGGAGATGAAATTGTGGGTGCAACAAGATGTGTCCGTATTCGATAAAACAGGTATCCCTGGTCATGACAAAGCAACTGTATTATGATTGAAGTAGTCTCAATAGTCACACAGTGTACCGCAAGATGAAAGTACCCGGTTCAAATCTCACTTTGTCAAAACACCTCGTCCTTCCCCGGTAACCATCACACTGGATCCAGCAAACCGCTGAATAATTAATAATAATAATGAACATGAATTGTTAACTCGAGTGCTTAGACTGAAGTGTCGTTCAATAGATATCCTTTTTGTGGATGAGCGGGATCTGAGCTCTGCACGAAACGTCTGTTCAGGTTTTACAATTTATGTGGACCAAAGGAAATTGATATCAGACGTTGAGTCAGTCAAGTCAAGTCAAGGAATCGTTTTATACACCACCTCGAAGGGGGGATGTTCGGCAACCACATCACTACAGTGTAAACAATTTTAAAATAGAACGCGAAATGTAATACAGCAATTTGAGGAAGTGAAACGCACAGTAACAACATCAAAAAGCCAATGGTGTACCCGGATGTTTATGATCGGTTTGGTTTAGCATTTTGCGAAACTTTTCTGTGACGAGTTCATGATTTGTAAGAAATTTGGCGAGATACTGGACAATAGAACGCCTGTTTGTGTCTCGGGAAAGTAAAATCACAGCCAGCAGCGTATCGATTATTCCACTTCACTGTATTCCACATTTGACGGTAAATGCAATCTCAACTATCTGTTTTAACCAGTCTGTGAAATACATCCGGAAGACATTAAAGTGAGTCTGAGCGAGGCAAATGTTTCTATTGTCCCCAAATTACTAGGTTATCGAAATTGATCAACACAAGAATTGTTTCATGCAATCAGTCCCCTTTAACAAATTCATGAGAGCAAGAAGAAGGATAGTGATAGGATCGGCTGAAGTCAACTATGTTGTGGTAATCTCATCAGCTGTGTAAATCCATTCAGGTGACGTTTGTTTAAAACGAGTGACAGGTCTGGGGACGGACGAACATACTCGGGAAAGAGAAATCAATCAGTGCGAAGGCCAAAGATCACTAATTCGAACCGGATCTGAATGTATGCACACAGTCAATGAGATTAACACGAAATAGTTGAATTCAACACATCCTGCGATCATGTTTCCTCTTGCTCTCATGAAAAGAGTGGTTGTTGGGCTAACATTTTAGTTGGTCACAGAGGTCTGTTGCTATCCAACCTGCTTGAATTATGCTGAAAAGTGATCAACGGTCAACGAATATTAAGCACGAACAGAGTGTAAAAAATTGTAAATACATTCTGGGTGTTTTTTAGTCTGAAAGTAAACTAGACGGGGAAGTGGAGTTCTGAGTCTGAAACAAGGTGTTGAGGATAAGTTGCACACAATGACCTCCTCGGTAAACGCGCGTTATTAAAGCGACCACGTGGTCTCGTAGCTCAGCTGGTAGAGCGTGAACTGTACAAAGGTGTAGGCTATGTCCATGTGTGGGTTCGAATCCCATCGAGGCCACTGAACTTCTCACAATCGATACAAAAACTTCAAATCTGCCAAACAACAATTTGAACAATTGTATGTGACCAATGCGTGTGTGTGTCTTGTCTTTCGCGTGTATTGATTTCCGGAGAAGGAATACCAAAGAAAGTGACACACAATCTTGTGTAATTCATCCCTCAGGTACGCCCTCTCGTCCTTCATCATGATCATGATCATCATCATCATTGGCTCTATTCAGAATGCCATATCACCCACTCACTTTAATTCGCATGAACGCGTCTTTTTACTGAAAATTGTGTCCACAACGGACAAATAAAGTGCGTTCTCGACTTGATTGCATCTTAGCAGTCGATCAGCAACCCAACCAATTCTTCGGATGTAAGCAAATTGATGCCGAATGAAATGGACTTTGAGGGCTAAAAAAATCAGCGATAGGGCTGCCGAAGTCGGATCGACTCGAGCATCTGATGCGGAGGATAAGAAATGTAGCTCTAATGTCGAATATTTTTTTCACAAAGGTAGTGGGATACAATCCCTTCAGTATTTGAATAGCAATATGTTTCGGGCCTTCTTGCCATGGTTTCCAATCATCGTCATCGTACAGCGAAATACAGTGAGGCGAACTTCACTGATCGCTACCAAACTCGCAGTTAGTGATGATAAGTAAGGTGGACAGGGCCTACTTTGAGGGAGGAGGAAGGTGATCGACCCTTTATGGTCAACACACAGAGTACACAATCGAACTCTGCATACATATCATTTCAACCGTTATGGACTGATAAGAAATGACAACAAGAACGCCAATGCTGTCGGTTCGCTGCAATATCCTTCAATGTCTCCAACCAACCAGATGCGGAGTCTTTCGGATCCTTAATATTTCTTTGCATTTCTTCATCTGTTGACCTCCACGTGGTCTCCTACCTCCTGGAGCAGCTACAGCGAATAAAGCGCGGCGCGGCAGACAACAGTTGGGCATACGTAATACGTTCCCTAGTCTGCGAAGCCTATTAATCTCAATTCGGTGTGCTAGCAGGTTTATCCCTGATAAACTTACAAACACACGACAACATGAGGTCATGGTATATTTACAGGTGATTAAAGCTGGAAAGCAAGACACTATCCGTGGCGGTTCAGATGCACAGCGGTGTTCGTGCATCTTATCAATTTCTTTGCAACCTTAGACCAGTGAACTTCTCCATTGTTCGAATCCACTTTCAACCTTCCTTTCTTCTCCTATTCTTCATCCAAATGGGCAGCCAGAAGACAGCAATCAAAACCGGCGAACGAATATGCGTGGTTAATGGCTGTACGAACTGAAACTGAAAATATATATATCAACACGTAGTCCATTACATTTAATTGGCAGATGTACCACAACATATGAAGAAAGAGATGTGAAAACCATTCAAATGTGAATCAACGAACAAGAGTCTCGCAACAGGTGCGTCACTGAGGCCGGTTACCAGCCATGTCTGAAAGTGTATCAAGCCATAGATGTTCTCTGTCCTTGGGCCCCCAAGCTTGGAGTTTAGAGCGTCCTACAGCCAGTTTTGAGGTTAGCGCCTTCATTGTTCGAGCCCAGGTTATTCGTTATCCACCTTGTCACCGCTTCCGGTTAGTTTCTGTTAGCGAAAACAACACGATGGGGCAGTCGTTGAGCCGGCATCCGCAACACAGGTCTTAGCCAACGAAGTCTCTGGAGCGAAATGACGGTACTCAACGGAAGACTGAGGTTGTCTGCGGCGAAGATTCTTTAATGAAACTCGTTGTTGGTGATTCGCTGTTGCCAACGTATTCTGACGAGGCAACGAAGGCAACGATGGTCAAAGACTCTCCGTACGTCTTCTGTGTGGAGGGGCCAACTCTCACAGTCGTAGAGTAAAACAGAGCGTACTGAGGCATTGTAAACGCGGCCTTTCAAGGAGAGACTGAGATGGCGTCGGCGCCACAAGTGACGAAGGTTAGCGAAAGCCACTCGAGCCTTGCGGATACGCGCTGATATTTCTTCCCTCAGTCCTCTTGAGCTGAAACAACTCTCGAGATAAGTAAAGTGATCGACGATTTCTAACTGGTCATTCAAGAGCGTGAGAACAGGTGTGGCCTCTTGCCGGACTTACCATCACGAGGAGACTGCACTTTGACGTGATGTGATGGCTTGTGCACCTCCCTGACCTAACGAGCAAAACAGGATGGCTTTTGTCAAACCGGAGAGCTAATCACATCTGGAAGGTCGAAGGGTAGAGGTCGGACGAAGCCGTCTCCTGGTCCTCCAGGTTGGGAGTTTGACCAGAATTTGTCATTCGGTAAAAAATAGTGGATGATCCAAGTAAATGGGCCTCCACTTCACTTCACCCGCTGCCTTGTAGCTAGGTTCTTGTCAGAACTAAAAGCCTTGGTTGAGAACCTTAGTTGTTTTCCTGCTTAGTGGCTGGACACCCTAACAGTACCCGTCCATCAAACCCCATTGCATATGCATTGCGAGTTTGACAGCGATCAGTGAAGTTCGCTTCTCTGTATTTCGCTGTAAGATGATGATGATTGCCAGTCTTGTAGTAAAACTTTACATTTCGACGGAGATAATGTCATACCGAACTGCGTGACGGACAATGCCAACTTAAACAGGACGTTTTGAGCGTCCTGAAGAGTCTCAGAGCAAAACGATGTCGTCAGCATATTCCAAGTCACGGAGTTGATTGCCAAATACAGTTAGTCGGCCGCCTTGTCCATCACTGTCTAACAAACCAGTTACACAGCCTGTAATGGAAGACGCACGACGCCCACTGCACCTAATCGTTCTGCGCACTTATTTACGCCCCATATGCACGTCATCTGTGAGGTCTTCGCGCGATTCTGTCCAATCCCGGAGTGGTAACTGTAAAAGATGCACTGTTCGCAATACTTTTCAACCAATAAAGCTTGCCCATCTCAGTTTGATGAAACAGTGAATTTTCAACTGATACAATTCTAAGCATACGATGGCCTCTCTTGAGGTCATTCACTCCATACTTTGATTGGATCAAAACAGATGCGAATAGGTCGGAATCCGACCTGTCGTTTACTAA